ACTAAAACGGGTCGGAATGGCCCCATATACCATACATGACCTCACATACGATCAACCTTCACTACCTTGAGGTCTGTTTTGCTGTTGGGCAGCTGTAAGGTCATGTGACGTCATCAAAGGTCACCAAGGATTTTTTGCCAATAACTCCTTACAGGAACAAGATACAGCCGCGCGGATGGTCTCATTGTGTTCAGCTCGTCAAGACGCATCGAATGATATACATGATGACCTCGAGGTCACGTGACCTGAGGTCAACCTTTGACCTTGACCTTTCGAGGTCAACATATATATCACTCGATGCGGATTGACGAGAGGATCACGATGATGCCCTTAGTTTGTTCCTATCTTGACTACTTCGAAAGTTATTCGAGAAAAACCCTCTCCATATCTAGCGCCGCCATTTTGACTTTTTCGACCCCTGTGACGTCATCTTTGACCTGACCTGAAAATGACCTTAGTAAAAATTGTAGACCTTGTCCATGCGTATCCGATGCCGTTTACCGCTTGTCGCTATCTTGCTTCGTTCTCGAGATCTCAGGGGGGGGGGCGGTCATCCGCCCCCCCCCCGTCGGTACTAAGTTGGCGCAGACCCCCGTCGGTGCGCGGGTTAAAGTGCGGCAGACGTTGCGCGCAAAGCAGCGTATACCACAGGGCCTATTTTAACATGTTAACTGGGGGGGGGGCAAATGCCCCCGCACTCAACAGAATTGCCCCCCAGTTGTCGAGATTTGCCCACTTTAAAAATGAGCATAAAGGAACAGGGTAACAAACATACTACTGTGACTTGTTTTGCAATGGATGTCAAATGAGTCAGTCTGCAAGTAATGACCAGTGGTGGATCCAAGGGTGGGTCATATGGGTCATGACCCCCCCCCCCCCCCGCCCCCTTGGGTCCCGGGGACACCACAGGCCTGCCAGGGGCACCACCGGCTTGTCAGGGGCACCACAGGCCTGTTGGGACTTGGGAGCACCATCGGCCTAGCAAGAGCACCATAGGTCTGCGCCAGGGGCACCACAGGCCTGCCAGAGGCACCACAGGCCTAGCAAGGGCACCACGGACCTGTCAGCGACACCACGGGCCTGTCGGGGGCACCTCAGGCTTGTCAGGGCCAAGGGACACCATCAGTCCTTTCAGGGGCACCTCAGGCCTGTCAGGGGCACCAGAGGCCTAGCAGGGACACCACATGCCTGACAGGGGCACCTGCGGCCTCGCAGGGACACCTTGGACCTGTTAGTGGCACCACATGCATGTCGGGGACACTCCAGACTTGTCAGGAGAACTACAGTCCTGTCAGGGCCCAGGGGCACCAGCGGCCTAGCAGAGGCACCATCGGCCTAGCAGGGACACCACCGGCCTCGCAAGGGCATCATGGGCCTGTCAGGGGCACCATGGGCCTGTCGTTAGAACCTCAGGCTTGTCAGGGGCACCACAGTTCTTTCAGATGCACTGGCGGCCTAGCACCATGGCACCATGTTTGGCCGGGATCGCGATTCGGCGTATGTCGCCTCGCATTAGCCGCGCTTTTGCAGTCTTTTCGTGGTTTCAAACGTTCAAACATGGGATATGATGTTGCTCCCATGCATTAGGGTGGGTGTCAAGGTCACCGGAAGGTCAGGTCAGGTCATTTACCTTTGATGACCTCGGTTCACATTTTCGAGTTTTATACGTTTCTAGGCTAGTTTTTTGAGCTGAATTCGAATTTAGCAACCATTTGACCGTTTACGAAGTAGTTTTGGTGCCTTCGTAACATGTTACGAAACTGTCAGAGGCGGTTGCCACCTACTACGAATACCCGGCAAAACGCTTACTGGTTGACCTGACCTGAGCCTGACCTGACCCGACCTGGCCTGAATGCATGAAGACATCATCTATGATCATAACTAAGTACTAACATGATATTCGTGATCAGCTCCCCGAAAAAAAAAACATAGCACCCACCCTTTACGACGCTCTAACAGGTTACGATTTTCCCGACGTTTGGGTCATTGACCTGACCTGGAAGGTCAACCGATGACCTAGGACCTTAAAATTGGGTATCATCGGCTTACTGTCATCACGGGCAGCACGGTCGTTTTTTTCCGCGAAGCTCTGGCTCGATCAGGGGCGAAACGGCAAGGGGGAGGGTCCAACGGACCCCCCATACCCGACGTTCGCAGCTGGAAAACACCAATACGGGCGAGGGTTAAAGGGACTATCCCACCTTTAAAGGAAAAGGGCCACCTTTAACATGGGGATTGAAACTGAGATAGCCATCTTGTAGCCCGTGTCCGAAAACCTGACTGTCTACCTCCTTACGGCCGATTTCGGCCTCCATTCGTAGTTATCGGCAATTTTAAAAGAAAATACGCCAGGAATGCGTCCTTATCCCAGGAATGCGTTCTTATCCGACAATACAGCCACCCGCGGCGAGGCTTTGGTTTTTTACCAATCAGCTCCAACCAGCTCAGCTTTAACCAATCAGCTTATCTGACACAATCCGACGAGTCTGTCTTCTGAACGCTGATTGGCTTGAGTGTGACGTCATCGCTATGCCATCATACAGTAGGTGCCGTAGAGAGTATCAACATAGTACCAATATGTTAAATAGTTTTAAATACTTTTTCGCGAATTGTGCACTTCTGGCACCAGTTTTAAAAAGAAAATGAAAAATAATAATGTCAAAATGAAAAACAACGATATCTTCATATTTCACGAAGGTGGCCCTTTTCCTTTAATGGGGTTTGAGTTGAGATAGCCAAGTTTGCGGCGAGGTTCAGAAACCACTATCTATCTAGGTTGCAACCGCCGCGGCCTCTTGGTGTTGAAGAAATTCGCTCCCTTCATTTGAAAATGGGCCTTGTACAAGGCCCTATCTTCAACATGGAGCGACCGTTAGTTTGACGTCACCTCGTTTAGTCATTCTGATTTAAATGGGTTTGTTCTCACAAAAATGTTGCACGCTATTTTGAAAGGATTTGAATTTGCTCGTCGACAATTCCGAAAATGTACATTCTGAAGACGACGCAAGTCGAAATATATCATAATACTTTTTGGACTTATTTTAATATCATTTCATTGTATCATGAGCATAAGGTCATTTTCTACCATCATAATATTCGTTTTCGCCTTTTCTGAACCGAGCGACATCACTTTCATGCCAACTCATCAACTTTTTTGAAGGTGGGAGCCGGGAGGGTCCCTTTAAGGGGGGCGTTTTGGACGGTTCTCCCTATACGCAAATATTTTATTTGGAAAAAAGGTAGCGCTGGACTTCCTTTGTCGCCACTTCTTCTCGTAAGGTAGTTTGCCGCTAGGCTGTCATAATTGTTTTACGATAATCGCCATTTGTCCTTCCATCCATGCAACTTATTAATTGCCTGTTATCGCAGAGGTAAAGAAGTTGTAACTGCCAATTGTACCTTTCCCACTTGCCTGAGCATTTTTGTTATCGATTATGAGCCAAGTAGGGTAAGGTGCCTTATTAGCGACCCCCTTAATTTGAATCGTCATTGCTCACGCTCTGTGGGTGCCACTGTAGGGTAAGGTGCTAATTAGCGACCCCCTTAATTTGAACCGTCATTGCTCACGCTCTATGCGTGCCACTGCAGTACCGGCTTGATGTTCGGAGAGATCGCTCATTTTTCTATTAAAATATAGTCATTTTCTGCCCAAATATCCATTAATTTATTTGTAGTGAGCATTTTGGCAAACCATTGCAAAAAAAAAACGCTAATACATAGGGAACTCGTCCCGATTAGCGACCGGGGAGGGTCGCTAATAAGTCTATTAAAAATGGCAACAAATGCGACGCCTGAAAAATTGAAATATTATCCCAAAAAGGAAACATATACGCAAAGCACTCAATAACTGGAACAGGAGCGTTTATCCAACACCTTTATGAAGGTGAAAACTGATCACGTGATGCACCAAAGGCGAAAATAAGGCAAAAACCCAAATTTTGCGGGCTATCTCGTATGATATTCGATGCCCGCGCTGGATTCGGCACCCCTGCAGTCGGTGACGACAGTTGGCATCACCCGCCACAGATCGCAAGCTTCAGCAACACCTCATTTTCATTTCTGTCTTTTCCCCTGTCTTTCCCCTCTTGAGATATTTGCGACCATGCCGGATGCAAATAGGAAATATGGGTTGCGACACATTTTTGACCACCATGCAGTGCACATATACGCGATTCACTACCAGAAAACGGCAATCAATTGAAAAAAAGATTGTCGATTCAGAATAAAAAAGGTGCATCATCTTAATGTGCATCGCTTTTGATCAGATAGGTTCCAAATACACACGTTTTGGATAAGAAACTGGCAATTTTTATCTAAACTCCCCTTGAACGTCCCACCAGCAACACCGACAACCGGAAAAGAATTTAGTTTGATAACCAAAGTATGGCAGACCCTTTGACATGGTTTTTACCCCGATTTCTCTTGTCAGCTTTTCTGTAGAAAGGTAGGTCGCAAATAGGAAAGGGTCGCTAATTAGGCACCTTACCCTATTTGTGTTCAATGTGTTTGTTGCACCCGGCCGTTTTGCCGCATTTTGAACGTCCTACGTGTTTGTTGTTATCGGACACCCATCCGATATTACCCCCGCCCTGCTGGGGGTCCTGGAATTCCACGGCATTCTGGGGGGTGGTGTTTGCCCCCCTCTTCTAACTCGGCTCCTGGGCCACGTAGTGACACGCGGAAGGTGGCGTTCGAAAAAAAAAACATGAAAATATTGACGAAAATACTTTGGTCACTTTTTTGGTCAGGTCATTCAGGACTTAAGTTACTATGGGGTCATTAAAGGTCAAATTTCACAGATTTTCAGGAAGAATGTCGACAATTTGCAAAAAGCCGACGCAGAACTCGGGAACCAATATCAATATCAAGACTCTTGGGGTCAATTCGGACGCCCGTCCATAATTTGCTACAACTGACCGATAATACCGTAGTAACTTTTTTTCTTTAAAAAATCGCTGCGCTCCAACGCAACACCGGAACCTCAGCAAACTTTCTAAAAACAAAGTTTTGTACATATATTTGAATGTCTCCAATTTAAATAAAAATGATAACCTCCATGTTACGATGGCTTGAAGCTACCCGTCCGATAATACCCAAATTCCCCTAAATTGGCGAACACGCACGAAAAACATGCGCAGTCGTTTGAATTTCGTCTGTTTATCTCCATCTCTTATTTCCCATTCCCTCTATCACCGCATTTGCCGGTTCGCCGACCCATGACAGTCCATCAGCCGACTCGATTCAAAACTCACAAAAGCTAAGATATAGCGCCTAAACCTAAGCCGAATGTTTGTGTATGTCTACATACAGATTGAAGTCAAACAGTGAATGCAACACTCTTGATCTTGCGCTTGATAAACTTCATATCCCATGCCTACAATAGCTCTAAATCAGTAGGCATCCATTCTACATCCCTTAACCAAACACGTTCTAAGCATCAAAAGCATCCGTCAATTCACGACTTTTACAGGTAGAGTACTGTAGTTTCAGTGATGCTTTTCGATGCTAAGTGATGTTTTCCGCGATGCGAGTCGGATGGACTTCGCTCAGGCGGTGTCAGGTCGCTGCCGCCGGGGCCAAGCTGTGTCCGGGCAGGCGGTGAGTCAGTGAGCGAGATGGACTGACGGTGTGAGGGTGCGCGCTGAGGAATACAGAATCTACAAGCTATTTCGGCAATCATGGCGAAATTCGACTTGAAACTTATCCCGGAGTATGATGGCACTAGTAGTGACTTTTCGTGTTGGTATGAGAAGGTGGAACTGGTGTGTGGCCTGCAAAAACCGGCAGTGGACTTGGCCGTGGTGGTGCCGTTGAGACTGACAGGGGGTGCCGCGGCTGTTTATCGCCAACTGAGTGAAGCCGACAAGGCGGACGCAGGGAAAGTGAAGGCGGCTTTGCAGCGTGCGTTTGCAGTTGACAAGTTCAAAGCCTACGAAGAGTTCCGAGATCGCCAGCTGCGGGTCGACGAGTCCGTCGATGTGTTTCTGGCGGACCTACAAAGACTGTCGTCGATCTTCGGAGGCATTAACGAAGAGGGATTGAGCTGCGCATTTGTGGCAGGACTGCCCGAGTCCGTGCGGCACGCTCTCCAGACAGGCGCCCGCATGGAGTCCCTGTCTCTGTCGGAGATGGTGGACCGGGCCCGTGCTATCCTCTGTCGAGATAGCGTTCTGGGGGTAGCTGCAGCGGCAGACCACCGCGGTCCGCGCCGTCAGGAAGCCACCGTTTGCTATGCGTGCGGACAGCCCAACCACTTGGCCCGCGATTGTCTTCGTGGTCGAGGTGGCCGTGGACGTCGAGGTGGTTTGGGCGGAAGCAGGCTCTGCTTCCGGTGCAGCCGACCCGGCCACGTGGCAGCTACCTGCCCGGAAAACGGCGGCGGAGAGGTGGCCTCAGCGCCAGCCTCCTCTCCGGCTCACCAGTGAGTGGCGCTCTGCCGACCACGCGCCTGTCGGTGGACGGAGTGATGTGTCGAGCCCTCGTGGATACCGGATGCACCGTGAGCGTCGCGCACTCCTCCGTTTGCCGCCGCTGGTCTGCGGAGCGAATCAACGTTGTGACACTGAGTGGAGAACGATACGCATGCGAAGGCAGAGGTTACGTGTCAGTGCAGACCATGTTTGGTGCTCGAGTTGAGTTGGAAGTGCTGGTGTCTGCTAGAAAGCCTTTGAACTTTTCATTCATTCTGGGAATGAACGGTGTGACTGCTCTGCAGGGCGTGTTCGTTAGTGCATCCAGTGAAGTGAACTTTGGAGTGGACTCAGCTGTGCCGGCCGCTCCAGTTGCAGCGGCTGCCAGTGGCGTCTCGGATGGAGCAGCCTCATCGCTGCATCCGGGCTGCAATGAGACGGCGGCGCAACCCGAACCGACACCGACCGACCTGCACCCGGACCGGGCACCAGTTGTGGATGCACCAGATTATGCCGTGTACTTTGATCCGACATCTAAGGCGTGGAGAATGAAATGGAAGTGGACTGACGGAGCAGAGCCGGAGTGCTTGCAGAACACTGTCGCACAGTACAGGGTGCCGTGTGACGCTCGCCGTGAATTTGACGATGAACTCAAACGTTGGGTGGAGCAGGGCTGGCTTATTCCCTACAACGAGTCAGAGCTTGGCCCACCAAAGGGTCTGGTGCCTTTAATGGCAGTCCAACAAAAGAACAAATCGAAAGTGAGACCTGTGCTTGACTATCGTGAACTGAACAACTACTTGACAGCTCACACAGCTGACGCAGACGTCTGTGCGGACCAACTGAGGAAGTGGCGACGACATGGCGAAAACGTTGCGGTCGTAGATCTACGTCACGCGTATTTGCAGATTCAGGTTGACCGCCAGCTGTGGCCGTTTCAGACGGTGATGATCGAAAACCAGAGACATTGTTTGACACGGCTCGGTTATGGATTGTGCGTGGCTCCGCTCGTCATGAAGGCGGTGATTCGGACGGTTCTGGAACGTGACGCGGACGTAAACCGGGCAGTGCTTCCGTACGTGGACGATCTGCTGGTGAACGAGGACATTGTTAGTGCAGAGCGAGTGGTGGCTCATCTGGCGAACTTTGGTCTCGAGTGCAAGCCTCCAGAGCGGGCGGCAGGCGGTGCGCGTCTGCTCGGTCTGCGAGTCTCACGGGAGCTTGGCAGGCTGGTGTGGAGCAGAGACAACCCAGTCGGACCACCACCGGCTGTGCTCACGCGCCGTGGAGTGTTCTCGTGGTGCGGACGCCTGATCGCTCACATGCCCGTGTGTGGTTGGCTCCGCCCTGCCGTGGCCTGGCTGAAACGACGCGTGAATGACGTCACACAAGGATGGGATGACATCACCTACGACGGAGTTCTGCAGAAGCAGATTAGTCATGTCGCGGCTCGGGTAGCCAGTCACGATCCGGCACACGGCCTGTGGAGCGTGCGGAGCGACCGCGCTGTGGTTTGGGTGGATGCGAGCTCCGTAGCAGCGGGTGTGGTGGTGGAGTCACCTGACGGCGACGTCATTGAAGACGGATGCTGGCTGAGGAAGGATGAATCCACACACATAAATGTTGCGGAGCTAAATGCGGCCGTGAGAGGCATCAACGTGGCCGTCGCTTGGGACATGCGTGTCATCGATCTGCGCACGGACTCGGTCACAGTGCACCGTTGGATCAACGATGCATTGAGCGGCCGCACTCGGCTGCGCACCAAGGCACACGGAGAGATGTTGATCAGACGCAGGGTCGACATGATTCGACAGCTGGTGGATGAGCTCGAGCTGTCGCTGTCTGTAACTCTAGTGCGGAGCGCAGCGAATCGAGCAGACGAGCTGACCAGAGTGCCGAAAGACTGGGTGCGTGATGAGTCATCGTCTGCAGCTACTGAGACAATGGCCGGCTGCGAGGCTGCGGCCAATGGGCTGGCATTGCCTAACTCTGATGACGATTCATCGGGTTCTGCAGTACTGAGAGAAGGCGATCAAGTCGCAGCTGCAGGTGGTAGCAGCGCTGAGGTGGATCGGATGACGCCGCGGGGAGACTCGGCCGGCGCGGCAGAGGACCGGACGGAGGATCAGCTTGCACCAGGAGGCTCTGCTGATATTGCGGAGGCCATCGCAGGAGTGCATGACCGCGCCGGACATCCCGGGGTTCGTCGGACACTGTACTTTGCACGGCGTGACATTTCAAAGGACGTGACGCGAGCTCAAGTGCAAAATGTGGTGAGCCAGTGTGACGCATGCCGCTCAATCGATCCGGCGCCAATGAAGTGGAGGCATGGCTCGTTGGAAGTGTCTGACGTATGGAAGCGACTGGCAATTGATGTAACGCACTACCGGGGCCAGTCGTTTCTCTCGGTTGTGGACTGTGGACCCTCGCGGTTCTGTCTGTGGCGACACCTGAGTCGTCCGGACGCTGATGTCACGATCGCTCAGCTCGAACAGATCTTCTTCGAGCGCGGGGCACCTGAGGAGCTGCTTTGTGATAATGACACCATCTTTCGCAGTCGGAGTTTTGCGGCTTTTGCAGCGAGGTGGGGCGTGCGTCTTCGATTTAGGGCGGTTCATGAGCCGGCTGGCAATTCGATAGTTGAGCGGAACCATCGCACGATCAAGGTCATTGCTGCGCGAAAACAATGCTCGGTGGCCGAGGCAGTCCACCTGTACAATGTAACGCCGCGTGAGGGTGGATCTGCACCCGCGAGTGTCGTGTTCCGGTACAATGTGAGGGACAATGTGCGGCCCGCTGCTGCACCGCCGGCGCCCAACCCCGTACCAGTGAACAGTGAGGCAGCCGCGTATCGTGTTGGCGACCCTGTCTGGGTACGTCGTCGGGGAACTCGGTGTGTTGATGCGTCGCGTCCCGGCACGGTGTCTGATGTCGTTTCTGAGCAGGTCGTAGAAGTCGATGGAGTGCCGTGGCACGTGAGAAATTTACGCCGACGGAATGCCGCCGTCGAGGAGGGGCCCGTTAGTGAGGGCGACAGTGAGGGAGAGAGGGACGGTGAGAGTCTGGTCATTACCGTGCCGGTGGTGAATGATGCGGGCTCAGAGGGGAACAGTGGGCCGGAAGTCGTGGAAGGAGAGTCAGCTGAGATTGTGGGCGAGGAGGAGCGACAGATTCCACGTAGAAGCGAGCGGGAACGTAGACAGGCCCAGTATTTCCAATCGATGGGTTGATCCTTTGAGATCAAGGGTGGAGTGTAGTTTCAGTGATGCTTTTCGATGCTAAGTGATGCTTTCCGCGATGCGAGTCGGATGGACTTCGCTCAGGCGGTGTCAGGTCGCTGCCGCCGGGGCCAAGCTGTGTCCGGGCAGGCGGTGAGTCAGTGAGCGAGATGGACTGACGGTGTGAGGGTGCGCGCTGAGGAATACAGAATCTACAAGTACGTTCTGATGAATTGCTTTCAAACCAAACGCACACTTGACAGTGACTTAATGACATGCACGAACAACAGCCTGGGCAGTGGTCAACAACATAACCAGCAGAGTCTCCCCCGCCATGACCGTCATCATCAGTGGGAAGCCGAAAGCGTCGACCAGCACGCCGCCTACCAATGGGCCAACAACGGTACCCAGCGAGTACATGCTCCAGTAGACGCCGGAGATGAAGGCATGCGTGCGCAGGTCGTCGGGCAGTCCGGTGCGCAGCGTGGCGGCCATCATCAGCTGGAAGCAGGGGATGTAGGCACCGCCGTAGAACGCCTCCTGGAGCGTCATGCCTAGGCCGAAGAGCCACCAGCGCGGCTGAAGGCCGAGCCACGGGGCTGGTGGGATCAGCAGCTGGCTGCCGACCACGATCAGCACGCAGAGCGCCATCACCGGGTACGGGTTTGCGGCACGCTCGGCCAGCCACGCCCACAGGAAGCTGGTGACAACGTACGAGCCAGCCGCCACCGTGAAGTAGAGGCCGAGAGTTGCCGGCGTGATGCCCAGCACGGCGTCAGCGTAAGGCGCCGCGCACGATGCGAAGGTGACGAACGCCAGTGTATAGCTGAAGACGATCACCATGCACAGCCAGTTCTCGTATGAGCCGATGAATAGGCGGACTGTGCGGAGCAGATTCACGGGGGCGTCGTCCTGCTTCACTACGGCTGGCATGAACTGGGCGTTGATGAGCGCTGTGACAATCATGGCGGCGCCCAGGACGTAGAACGGCAGTCCGAAGCCGGCCGCCGCGTACAGACCGCCGCCGACGGCCGGGGCCACGGAGAGGCCGACCGACTGGGCGGCCGACACCATCGCTACCACCGAGCTGGTCCGCTCGGCGAACTGGTTGCCGATGATGGTGAAGGAGCAGGCCGAGACGGCCGCCGTGCCGGCTGCTTCCACCATCCGCGCCACGAAGCACGCCGCGATGAAGCCGGTGCTGCCCGGGATGTAGAAGATGAGCCCGAACGCCACAGTGGAGACGCCGGCGACGGCGATCCCAGCGTTGTAGAGGCGCGTCACGCCAAAACGCAGCGCCAGCGGACCGACCAGCGGGTACAGCACCACCTGGGTGAGCGCGAAGCAGCTGAACACGCCGCTGATGGCCGTCTGCGAGACGCCTCGTCGGGAAGCCTCCACCGGAAAGAAGGGGATCATCAGCGCCATCAGCGAGCCGTTCAGCACACTGACGACGCTCATGCCGACCAGAAGGCGCCGCTGTCGCGTGGAGTAGCCTCCGGAGTCCGGTGGCACCAGCGGGGTGTCCTCCGCAGAAGTCGAGCTAGACCGTTTGTGCCACTTGGCGCTGCCGTGAACTGGTGCGGAGTCCCGTGCAAGTGGATCGGTGGCAGCGTCATTAGCGCCAAGAGATTCTGATGACGAGTTCATGTTGGCTGAAAACGTCATGCTTGAAGAGGATGGCGTGCTTCACTTGTTCGATTTTCCAGCTGAGCACCGGTCACACATCCAGAGCTAAAAATAAAATAAAACCATGGTAGAAAGTGCCTTAAGTGTTAAAAAAGAAAGGGCAAAAAGAGTGAGACGAGCTGAACCGAAGGGCGCAAAACAATTCATAGTGCCGTTTTCACGGATTATCTGGCGGATGCACCAGACTTCACCATAGGTATCTAAGGTAACCAAATTTTGTCACATTTTGGTTCGATAGTTCACATCAGTTCCATGGTTGATTCTCAGTAGTTTTCAGCTTAGGCTGCATGTTAAGTGCCAATATTTTTTATGAATTTAGCTCGAATGTTTTAATGTACATATTTACAGAGCCGGAGCCTACGCTAAGGAGAGATTATTGCGTGTACCCCGACCCCTACCATCTGATAGCGCAATTTCAGGTAACGGGAGATTAAATGCCAGAGTTAAACCCGCGCCATGCCTGGGGTGGGGGTGGGGGGAGGGGGAGGGGAAGGGTTCCGTCCACTGCTGCGCGCCGCAGTTTTTGGCACACCTTATCATACGCCTTTTCTGCACATGCTGTAAAAATGTCAAACCCACAGGTCAAAACCATATCATTCAAGGTCAGGTCGCCAGATCACATGAAAAGACCCTACCTCAGGAAAAGTTCCAATTGCTCGCCATAGCTATACCGACTGAATGATCGCTTTGAAACATTCCGCGATTTGTAAGAGTAACAGTAGGTATGTATAAAATGCATGTCTAATAATTTTGCTTTCTGTGTTTTAAGGTCAGCTCAATTTTGCGATCTCTCCATTACCTTTCAAAGGGAGAAAATTGAAATGCGCCTTTTTGGACAAAAGTCAATCTAAGCACTCTCAAGCATCGGATAACAGGTAAACATGACACACGAAATCGATGAATTGCCATCCATGACCCCTCTTGATGCCCCTGAGGTCAGGTCATGAAAGGTCTCCAGCACTTCTTTGACAATAACTTTTGATAGAGACATGGTACAGCGATGAAAATACTTCAGACGAGTTCAGCTCGACAATACGGATCGACTGATATGCGGCATGACCTTTAACGGTCAGTTCATGACCTTTGCTTGAGATCTAATTTCCAAATGACCTTTCAATGTCAAATTATTTCAATCGACGCCTCTCGACGAGAGGAACTCGATGCTGGCAAAAGCAATGTCGTGAGTTCCTCCGCGCAAAAGTTATTGCAGAAAAAAACTGTTTTCGTAAAAACAGCGATTATAAGTTTTTTTGCCCTCTGGAGGTCAAAAGTTTGATCTGAGGTCAATCTGAGGGCTCAATACAGAAAGGGCGTTAATAGAGCTATCAAATGCGCTTTTTCGCTGCGTTATAGCTTAGCCCGCGTATGACGGGTATTTTCCATAATCGCGAGTGAGGGGGGGGGGGCTCTACAGAGCCCCCCTCCTATCTCCGAAATTACTGGACTGATCGTCAAAAATCAAACGGCGTCTGATAGCCCTGGAAAAACGTGAACCCAAAGTTAATTGACTTCCAGGTCATCGATGACGTCACAGGTCAGTTCAAAGTTAAAATTATCAGCATTTTTGCTGGTTCACAATTTAGGCGCTGGCCGCCGGCTAACAAGTCCGATCAGGTTTATTTTTGGTTTACGCACTCCTTGATATATATGCCTTAGATACCCTGAGGGTAGTGAACTTGTACTCGAATTTTAAGGGCAAAACCAGGTCATCCTAGGTCACGGAAATTTCATATCATGTAGGTATCGGTCACGTGACATATGTTTTATGGTCCATTTAAGGTAGGTACTTAAACATTTTGAAAACAATGTCGTCTGTGTCATTTGAGGTAATTATTAGCTGAATTTACCTGAGGTCAGGTCACTTTCAAGTCAAAAAGTTCAAATTTTGAAATGGATTTTTTTCAACAAAAAGGTGCCTAGCATATGCAATTTTAGCTCAGGAACACGGTGGTGCTGTTTATATTGCTAGGTATACGATGTCAACAACGTACTGAAAAATGAATTTGAAAATCTATGTTTGTGAAATTTTTACTATAATGCGTACCTATACTCTTCCGATTTTCGAAGATATTGGACTCAAAATTTCTAGAGTACCTGTCACCGATGGGTGTTCTATTACTAGTAGGCATACATTTCGATTTTTTGTCGAAAAGTCAATTTAAAAAAAAAAATCAAAAACATATTTTTGTAATTGTATATATATTTTATGTTTGAAATTTTTAAAATTTTGAAAATCCGAGATGGCATCTGCTAGCCACGTTCATTCTAAGTCCATTCATTCTAAGTCCAGTCATGCAAATACATTAGATCTAGCTTGAAAACTGAGCTCTTGAGAGCAATTGCCGTAGTTCAATGTTTTGCTTTAAAATCGGCCGACATTACGTCACTCTGACGTCATTTATTTTCAGCCGACCAGTGGTAGCTAGAAACTTGAAATTTGGACACAAGGTGTCAAATTGATGCTGCTGAAAGTACCGCAGGTTTCGTGTTAATACATTGAACGGTTTGGAAGATATTACCGAAAAACGGGAGGGAGGTCTGTAGAGCCCCCCCCCCCCCAGTCATGCGCGGGTTAATTGAATCTCGAGTCATGCGCTGATTTGTCAATTGTTGAAATAGGCAAAATTTGACCTTTGATGACCTCTGGTGGCCTGACCTTCGACATGACCTAAGTCCTAAAAGATGAGTAGAGCATTTTCATCATTATTTTTTACGCTCTTTCGAAACTAATGCAAAGTAAACTTTCCTTACCTTAAAACTTGAACAAATTCTGTCACTTATCCCCAAACCGGGTCACACAATTATCGACCTTAACCTTGCACAAAAAAGGTTTTATATGTGACGGGTGTCGCACCTCGCGTGCACTCACTTGTCACCGGCCCCGGTGGAGCGCAGCTGCCGCGTTCAATGGGCTGTGCCCGCCGACCTCACCACCGAGCGACTGCCGAATAACTGACTCGCAAGGGCCGCCACATATAAACAATGCCCTCCCGGTGGGCGCGTCGGAACGAATATGATCTGCGCTGTTCCCCGATCCGTTTGCTTATGCCGACTATGTACAATGTACATATATGAGCGACAGGTGTGTATTAGTCCAGTGCTGGAAGGCGGTCATCTGGTGCAGGATAGAACATAAACATTGGCGCTGAAACATTCCACCTCAGTTCTTACATACATGAAAATTACCCCGGACACCAAACGCCTTAACCCTCGCCCGCACATGCCATTTTCCCATCCTAGAACGCACATGGGGGGGGGGGGTGGTTGCCACCCCCCCGCGCCATTTCGTTCCTGTTGGAGATAGAGCTTAGCAGTAAAGACCAAAAAGATTCTTTGGGAAGAGACGAATCCAATGATACCCAGTTTTACCTTCTCAGGTCAGTCATTGACCTTCCAGGTCAGGTCAAACTAAAAAATGTTGCTGTTTTGGGTCACCGTTGGATATCAAGTGTGCTGCTTATCAAATACCGATGACGATGCTGTTTTCTGGTGCCAAGCCAGCTAGAACCTCTTTGTCACACTACCCGACCAGAATTTTGCTGCTGAGGTCATTTCAGGTCAAGTTAGGTCAAGGTCAATTATATGTGTTTGTATGTCTGTGTGTGTCTGTGTGTATACTGATGTGTGCACCGATTGTTTTTGGGTCCATATTACATGAAATCATGATCTGAGAAGCTTTTACCAAAAATGCAGTCAAAAAACTACAAAAAAGTAAATTCAGCTTGCCTAAAACGCAATTATCTTAGGTGACCTAGGTTGACCTTGACCCTGACCTTGACCCCTGTACATCGTCGAACAACATGTTCCATGATAGGTAGGAGGTAAGACTGGCAAAAAAGGCCGAAATCAAGGTGTCAAAAGCTCATAAGGCCCATGGCAAACGCAAGATGTTGAGAATTGGCCATTTGGGTTATGACATGACCTGAAAAACAAGGTCATATCTCCGAAACCAAAAATCACAGAAACTTGAAATTTTCAGTGGACATCAAGAAAGGATAGAGGAGCAGCTATACGAAAAATCAGCCTTCTAGCTCTAAAAATGTTGAGTGCAGAGCAGAAAGACTACCTGGGGGGGGTGGCAACCACCCCCCCCCCCCCATGTGCGGGCGAGGGTTAACCAATCGATCACGCGTCCCATGCAGGACTGCGGAGTTAATTTTTTTTTTATTCAGACTCTGCAGCCTGAAATCTCTGAAGTATTTTAATTTTTATTTGATTGATGACCTACGCTCATTTAGGCATAAGTCCCCTGAGCCAAGCGGGGTGAGGTCGTATTGCATATTTACTAATTACGATCAACAATTATGTCCATGCTACGGTTGTTCTGATTCTTCCCTGATGCTGTCAGTTGGTGAACGCCGATGCGTCCCTTAACCCGCGCCGGGCCGGGGGGTGTTTGAACAGTGAACACCCCCCTGTGGTTTTTCGCAGATATCTCAAAAACGGCGGCGCGGAGCGCCGCCGTTTCTGGCACACCTGTTCGTGCATCTTTTCCGCACATGTTGTGAAAATTTCAGACCCAGGTCGCCTTAGGTCAGGTCACCAGGGCCTCGTTTCATAAAAGGAATTACTTACGGCGTTCCGTCAATTATGCCAGATTTGGGGTATTTGATGCCAATTCGGTTTCATAAAGCCGGAGACCGGAGTAATTCACGCCATCGAAATTACGGAGCTTCATTTACGGCAAATTCTCGATTCCGGACATTGATGTCATTTGGGTTTCATAAAACGACGTAATCGACGCCAAATATTTTATCAAGTTCTTGATATGAGTGGTTTAAAGGTAGTGTGCCAGCTTTCTTGGACCGTATGGAGTTAATGGCCCAGATAAGGAGAACCGGATTTTTAGAACTTCGTTAGGCGGCACGGGCGGACATCGATAGCAGCGCCTCTATCGGTCACTAGGGAAAGCTGGGCTGTAGGCGACGATATACCGGCTGAGTTGTCACACGCTGAATAGGTTTCTAGCCATCCGTCTTGTGAAAAAGTTGAACTTTTGCCTTTCATATTTCTACAGGCAATTTTAGAAGTGTCTTCACATGGATTACAAAACCGTTTAGATTATTGTATTCACTTCAAGCCTTCCCTATTGTTCTTGATGATGCGGGAACTATTTATAATTAGTGTTTCTAGCTTAGTAAAAGAACATACTGTGCAAACGATGAAAAAAGCATAAATGGAAGATTTTAAATGCAATTTTCTCTAACAATTAATGGTAAATTCTTTACATATCAAGGAAAATGTGCATGCTAACTGATAATTTAAAGTTCTTGGGGCCAGTTGTTTTCTTCTTTTCTTACGTCGCCCCAATGGCCGCGAATACACTTGTGATAACGCCTATCGTATCCATACCTTCAAAACTCATGGAAACGTCTTAAATTCTTCAAATTTTGAGTACCCCAGTGCGAAATTCGCCCCGACGGGTTGTCGGTCGTACCCCAACCACATTTCACACCACTATGAACAATAAATGCACACACTGAAATCGCTATTACCGATATGCTCATCCAATCAAGTTTCGATAAACCCGTTCATCATCATCTCCTGCGGTTTCGAACACGCCTGTTAGGTGGCTTCTGATGCTCGTCGAGGTCGGAATTTCCAAATACGCGTGGTGCGTCGGGCCGCGCGCTCTGACTTCGGCCAAGAAAAATGCGTCAGCTGATCATTGTCATTTCTGCCACTTGCGTGTGGTGAAATGGGGTCATAACTTATAAGACGGCTTTTTCATATCAATTATTTTACATAAAATCATATTTCAAACCATAAATAATGTTCGACAGCCAAATAAAAGAAACAATACCAATACGGGCTTACAGTTTAAGGCTCGACATTGTGTTGTCTACGATTAGACAGCTGATAACTCATTCCCGTACATCGTATGGTCGTAACGCATATTTACGTCTGGACAACGAGTTGCGTTGGAGAGGCCGGAAATAGTGGCGATTTCAGGACCGCAAGAATGGACCGCCATTGGAATGATTCTTTTTTAAACCGTGCACTGTTTTCGGCCGGAATTTAATAGTTACTACAAAATATTTTCTAATTACGTTTCCACCAAGAATGAATGCCATCAGGGCTAAATTTTTACTACTTTTGCATTTTGTCAAGAAGCATATAGTGCTGTTATATTGCAGTTTTTGCGCGTTTGTTATAAAATATGAAGCGAATAAGCGTCAGTGTTATTCATCAGTGCCAGAATTGAGGAGAAGATGTGGTAATTGCTCTTGTCCATCCACTAGAAGTTATTAAATATTTTGCTTTGTGTATTCCAAAAGGAGTGGGAACTATTTTACTTGTGCCTTCATGTCAGAATTGAAGGTGGATCATTAAATTTTCAAGGCAGTTTATAAACAAGCATTTGGTCTTTCTCGTATATAAGCAGTGGCTAAGAAGAAAAGGTTGATCAATCCTGAAGTTCAGTCATCGTACCTCAACTTGGCAGCAAGATCCCCAAGGACAGAGGTTATATTGTATACCTGTCCTGTAAATCAAAGCATTTTTGTGCCTACAAAGGCTTAAGCTATTTGTGGTGTCAGTGTGTTCGGAGTGAGGCTATATGGCCGTTTTTGTTGTATGTTTATGTGGAGATTGAATATAACTGTGACCCTTTGCTTGTTTGTATACTTACTATGGTCAAACAGGGAACAGCACATTCACATAACATACTCACCTAGCACCTAACTCATTGCTGTACCCTGCAGGATCTGCACTTGTTCATGTCTCGAGCATTAACAAAGCACTAAAGTAGCTTAGTAATCATTTCCCACATTTTCTGAGCATCTAACATGACATACAGCAGTGCAGAGCAGCTTCAGAGAAGAAACACTTTCAATGCACAGACTCACACCAGCCACCCAATGAGCCAGTTCCTCAGTTGACTGTTTCCCTGGATGCAGCTTGGCAAGGTGAGCTAACTATAGGCAAGTTGAAGGTTAGCAGGTAAGATTGAGTTAGGGTGAGTACCTACCTATAACTGGGTGCTTCTGCTATGCAGGTCTTGGGTAAGGCTGCAAATATTTGTGATGATTGAGGTTAGGTCAGCTGTCAGGTTATATTCAGGTATGCTCATTGCTCAGGTCACATTTTTTTGGACACTTCGCAAATTAAAAAACTAGCATAACCTAATCTAAGCTAACTCGACTAAACCTACACAACTGCTGACTATAGGAACTAAGCACCTACCTACTTGTGCCTACATCTCATACCATGTCAAAACTCAAAGTAGAGTTCCTTGGTGGAAGATTACCCTCAGTACTTTTTATCCCAGCCCTGTGAAGAAAAGAAAACTAATGCTTCTAAGCTGTGAGTCACTGCTGGCCATCCACAGGAAGAAACGCTGAGACTGAGAGCTTTGCCATTGTATATTGGACCAACAATCATGAATCACTATCATGAATGACTATGAACACATCATATGATCACATCGTGGCATGGATTGTCACATTGACAATTTTATAACAATCCTTTTTTCAAGAAATACAGTAATGATTAACATCAAAATCAGCATTAAGTGGATTTGGTGATCCAAGCTTTCTCCTCCAGTTGCAGTAGCAATGAAATGATCGCATGTTTCATTTGCCAGACACTGAGTAGGATGCACATTACAATCTGCACAGCATCTAAGCATAGTAAAGCTGCCAAAGTCCATTCATTCTAGATTTTTAACTTGATAGTTAGCACTAATTTATCTTGCTGTTGTAAGTTATCATTCAATATTCATACCAATACATCAATATGCACTCATCAGTCAACATTTTCTGGCATGATCCTGCTCAGCGTGCTCTTCAGTATTGCTCCAGGATCTGCAATATTATAGCTTGTTTTCGGCCAATAAGCTCTTTTAATGTTACTTTTTTTTGCTGATATATGAGCCCGATCAACTTGCGTTTATCAACCAAAATTTAATAACTTCAAGTTCAACTTGATATTGATATTGCTCAGGAGTCAGGACCTCTGTCAGCCTCCTGGA